GGTCCACTGCCTCTTCCATAACAGTTTCTCCACTTAATGCGATCTTCTGTTTTTGGAAAGAGACTATCCAGGAAAAGTGATAATGTGGTAGTTTTTCCATTTGCTTTCCACATCGCAGTACAACAGCCGTTCAAACCACTCTGGTCACGCCTGTTGCTATTCTTTATAGAAATTTTAATGTACACGTCAGATGATCGTCCATTCGCCGTATGAAATTCTAACCACCTCCGATTACAAGATGCAGGACCGTATGCTAGGCACGCTTTCTGAAACTTCATTGTGAACTCTTGACATGAATAAGAGGCGATTCTCACTGTCCTGACACGTGATCTGACCATGAAATGCAGTTGCCCCAAATTGTCATTCATTAGCAATTCATGCAGACACTTTGTGACGACGTACGTTCCTAACGGGCGCTGGTGAATCAGTTTTCACTTCCGCGTCTCTAAATTCAGCCGGTCACGGTAGCCGAGCGGTCTAAGGCGTGCACTGTCTTCGCTCGCTCGGAAGCCGGGATCGTGGGTTCGAATCCCACTCAGGGCATGGATGTTTGTGTGCGTTTTTCTGTGTTTGTGTACAGGTAGAGGCCTTGCGACGAGCTGATCACCCGCCAAAGGAGTCCTACCGAATGTATGAGATTTAGAAAAACCTAAGTGAACGGAGAAGTTCATGGAGATAGGCCTAGGCCCACTGGGGATGTAGTGCCAAGAAAAAAAGAAAGAGGTAAATTCATCACTGGGCTTAATTAATTAAGAACCACGCCATGAAGACTTAGAGCTTTCTCAACTTCGGTACACAATGAAGAGGGGTGCTCAGCTCCACGCCTCTGCCGATTTACCTCCGGAACCAACTTTACAGGAGGTTGGGTGGGCACCGCAGCTGTTCTGGACGTTATGGGGAAAAGAATCATTTCTTGCCCCTACCGGAAATCGAACTGAGACTCATCGGTTTTTTAAGCCGTAGCTTCGTCGCTATACCGACTGAGCTACCTTGGACCCATAACTAACTTAACTCCGTGGTTTTAGTCCGTAAGCAAACGATACCGACCGAGCGACCGCTGCTTGTCGGCGAAGTTAGTGCCGAATTTAAAGGATAGAGGGTGTCACGTGGTCAGCGCAACGGATCCCCGCGGCTGTTAATCTCGATTTTCTAGACCGGAGCCGCTATTTCCTTGAAATAGGTGCTCAGTTACCCTCACGAGGCTGAATTGACCCCGTTCCAGACCCACTACTTCTCAAAAAAATCTGATATCGTCGGGAAACGAAGCCGGGACCTCTGGGTCTGTAGCCAGGAACTCTGACCACTAGACCACCATGCACAGTTTATGATGCTTTCAAATTGAATTGCGAAGCTATGGGCATTTCTATGCATCGCGTGGCAATTCTAGCTGGCTCAGTCAATTTTATTTAATTATATGGAAATCCGTAAGACTTGCGGGAAGAGTGTACTGGACATAAAAGTGTGTGGTTTCGGATTTCTCTATATCTTTCGATTCGATAAACATTTAGCGAATTATGGGCGAGTTAAGCTCGAAATTCTCACAGATGTGCATGTAGGTCTTCACACGAAGTGCTCATTATTGTTGTCCGATTTCAACCGAAACTGAACTGATTATTAATTAGAAATGTTTTGATAATCGTAATGTTCTCACCAAGAATGCCTCCCTCCACCTGATGACTTCTCACGGATCATCCTCCATTTTGATTTCCTTCGCTTCCTCAGCTTCCCCTTACTCTACCCCTTCGCTTCCTCAACTTCCCCTTACTCTACCCCTTCGCATCCACTTCTATGGCTGGATTACTCGTTCTGCGGTGTTAGGCAATGAGAGCCACCACGCAGACTAATGTCATGGAGCTGAGCCCTTCTTGAGAAGATGATCAATGTGCAGCTACTCAAGAATTTCCTAGGGTTTTATGGAACCAGGAGGTTCATTACCGCGTTCACAAGAGCACTCCATTTGTTCCTATCCTGAGCCAGATCGATCCAATCCATACCACCCCATTCTATCTGTCTAAGATCTATTTTAACATTATCCACCCACCTACATCTTGGTCTACCTTGTGGTCTCTTTCCTTCCGGCTTTCCCACCAGTATCCTATATTCATTCTTCTTCGTCCCCATTAGTATTACATGCCCTGCCCCTCTCATCCTCCTTCACGCGATCATTCTAATTACACTTCATGAAGAGTACAAGTCATGAAGCTCCTCATTATGCAGTTTTCTCCAATCTCCTGTCACTTCATCTCTCTTCGGTCCATATATTCTCCCCAGCCCCTGTTCTCAGACACCCTCAGTCTCTGTTCCTCAGACAGCAAACGAGAAGACAAAAGGTTCTGGACCGAATGGTAGCAAGCATTACCCGAGTTCAGTCTCCTCTTAATTTCCTCCTGAATCAGGTTTTCATTTCTTATCGTCGTTCCCAAATATCCGAACTGTGCCACAATTTCGAAACATCTCTTGTTATCTTTATGTCATGATTTTAGCCTGCATTCTGGTGACGAGACAGCAACATACACGTATACTTAGTTTTCTTTGTGTTTACTTCTGGACCAGTGCTTCTCAACGTTTATGAGACCGCGGCCCAGTAAGTTCTTTTTTTATAAAACGAGGGCCCAGTCCCAACAAATTTACTCGTAAATACCTTTCCAGTTTTGTTGAAGTTCATGCATTAAGCTAACGTAATATTAGTAATTAATTATAGCATAATCATAAAAAGTATTAGTACACTTATGTATACGGTGTGGCATGTTGAAAAACAAAAATTACAATTAAATTAGTTATCAATCACTGGACTAATGAAATCTTGTAGCATTTTGTAGTTTCCTCAGACCAACATCATTAAATTAATTTGTGCTAATTTTCATTGACATATCCCATGCTGATCACCAAAAACTTAGGTTATTCAGCGTAAAATTGATTATTGTATTATTAAATTTATTTTAATGATGTTGGTTTGGAAAAACGACAGTGAGAAAAATATTTATGCATTGTAACTCACCATAGAAGTCAGCTGAGTAGGGGAAGAAGCAGAAGGATGTCAACTTGCCGGCGAAACACTTATTATCACATACGCACGCCAAATAATTATGTATGTAAAGTATGTAATTTGATAAATAAAAATGTATGAATCTCTCAATTCTAAACACTACTTCCAACACTAATTAATATTTTGATTTTAAAGACGCAGCACTTTAACACAGCAATTATAAGTTATTGGAAAGTTAAACTTAGT